TGAAAGAAGAAAACCTAAATATTATCCCATCGCTGATCACATGTTGATCATCTGGAATGGCTTTCCAGCAAACTGAAGAAAACCCACAAAAAAGGCCTGAATGCATCTCTGATCTAAGCATCCCCAGAATACTGACGACACCACTGTGCAGCAAATCGATGTTGATGATGCTGAAATAACTCCAGTCACTTGCAGTAGATTATTTGATGATAATCAGGCTCAACAAAGAAGCAAGTATGACTCGCCACAGTGTCTAACAAATGAATTACACCCATTAAAATAATTTAAAATCATTAAAATAAATAAAAAACAAAATAATTCAAGCTGATGACTTAAGTATTGGAGACAACGGAATATCACTAGAACCTAAGTTTCATGCCAATTAAAGTTACAAGAAGAAGACAATTTCAAATTGGATTGAATTCTTAGGACACAAGTTACACAGTCCAGTGCCTCAGCTTTGTTAAACACTAGCCACCTCTGGTTTTACAAGAAGTTTTGTGTATGTGCCACACGCAGCTAAAAAATAAAAGTAGTATAAAAGTTGCTTACTCCATGGCTACACAAGCACTGCTAGCAAAGCTCCATTTCCTCCAAGCAGGAAAATTTCAAGTATTTCAACAGGTTGCAGATCAAGGTAATTTCAGAACATCTTAGGAAGGCTTTAAAATCTCCCCGATCTTAAAGCCTGTCTCATAGTGAAGACTGATAACATTCTTAAATGAATAGAAAAAATGTTGCCCCGTCTTGTGTCACTAAATTGAGGAATTCTGGAGCTCACTGCACTGGGCATCTCTCATTTCTGATGGAGGCCCACATCACATCATCTGGGATGGCCAGAAACTATGAAATGGGTGTCTCACAACAAGGCAGCAGCAATCTTGCCAAAGACACAAGCATTTGAGTCTGTCTCTTCCTTCCATATACTGTAATACAGATTAAGAGAATTTCTTAGGGTTCAGGAGCAGATATTGGGCAAATAGTTTTTATTAACAAACTTTAGCATTGTGACAAGCTACCAGCGTCGGGCAAGACTGCCCATAGAGAAGGTGGCAAAAGCCAGTTCACCTTATGGGGAATCAAAGCATTGCTACTGGAATGGCAGAAGCATCCAACTTTTAAGAGATGTGAAAGTATAAAATAACATTGTTATTATCTCTCTTACCGCTCTGCCCAACTTGTCAAGCCACCTCCACAGCCACTGTGTCCTAGTTAACACAGGCAAGGTAAGAGCCCAAACAATGTAATTTAATAAGATACTAAGGATTGAAACAACAATCCTGCAGGTTCAGGTACACAACTCCTATGGCCATAGCAGGACTTACAAAGCAGGCAAATGGCATGTTACAAGGACAGTGCTTCATGGCAAACGCTTAATTCTGTGAACTGAGTGCCAGAAAGCATCTGCCCTGGTAAGAATTAAGTGCCAACAGAGCTAAAGCCCACAGGCAAAATCAAACTGCCACAGTGAAGCACAGAAGTTGCTGCAAACAACTGAGTGTAGTGAATAAATATATATACACGCATCCCTACGGTTGATGCCAGTGTGCAAAATCATCCTAATTTTTCACCAAAGAAACTACAGTTCAGTCTTTCAGTGCTAACTGAACCAACACCGCCACAGACTACTGAATAAGCATTTGGAGTTATCTAGCAACAGGGAGTAAAATTCAGAGTAAACACAGCATGATGTATTCACAGACCTATACCTTCCACCTGTTTGGTCATGCCAATCAATGTGTCAGAACACCCCAATGCTCCTGGCAAATTTCTCACAAGTATTCCCTAACTGCCATCCACAATATTTGAGAAAACCATTTATGCAGAAAATATCAAGAAAGCAATTTGACAGGTAAAAGACATAGAAATGAATTAAACTCTAGGCACAAATCAACTAGTCTGAATCACTAAGTACCTTGAATTGCCAACTCCTCTTTATGAAATACTTCAGTTTTAGAAATTAAACTGTAATATGATAAACAATCTCTGAAAAACACAAAAGCCAGCAGAAGGAAACTTCTCAGTTCAACTTGATGAATACTACCCAGATTTAATGAAAAGAATCAGATCAGATGTAATGTCTAGTTCCACACTTGTATTCAGGAACATAGAAACATAAAAATAATCCTATAGGAAAAAAAATTACTAAATTTAGACAGAAACAGAGGCTTAGACAACATGCCTTAAGCTTGAAGAATATAGATCTTAATTTTACTTGTGACCTTAAAAAGAGTAGAAAATTTGAACCAAATATAGATGAATTTAAGAAGTTTCCCAAGTCTTCCGATTTTCCACTGTGATAAAAAATAGTGTGGCAGGCACGGGAGTGAGGGAGAAACTTGGCTCACACTCCATGTCAGAGCTGAACAAGCACTGCCTATACTTGTCTACTGGCTATTTTTGTGCCTGAATGTGTAGTTCTGCTTGATTAGAGGCTGTGAAACCTGAGAGGTCCTGGATTGCTTCACTTCCCCTCGCAGTAGGGTGTATTCCCATGGCTGCAGTACACTGCACGCACCACTAGTCCCAGCCCAGGTTCTGCTGACTGAAGACGTGGAGCCATCTCTTCCAAGGAGCAGGGCCTTCAGATGAGAATTTTTCTCTTGTTATTTTAAAATCACACCTTTTTCAATAACTGGCAGGATTCCCACTCAACCCAGCTTTTTTTTTGGTGAGTTGGAGATCACAGCCCTCCTGCTTTTGAACAGCCTTCACTTCTTTAGCTAGTTTATTCTTCTGCCTAAAGTCTTTCTTTTAAAGCATCAGATAGGAACAAATTTACTTGCTCATTTTTGGGTTGAAATTTTCAAGACACAGGTTATGCTTTTGTTACTGGAAACCAGTGAGACCACTTCATATTTTGTTACCCTCAAATCAAAATAATTTCCCTACAGCAAACGCCAGTGACCACTAACTAGTATTCCTAAAGCAAAATCTAAATAATTATATTTTATATTACTGTAGTGCCATGAAACATGAGTCCATTCACCCTCCAAGTTCTTAGAGTACACAACAGTACAGAAAACAGCATTTTGTGATGTATTATGTCATTTCAGATTTCATTTCCTTATTTATTGAATCATCTTCAACTGACATCTAGTGCTAAATCAGTCAGACTCTACAGTACAATATGTGAAAGGTAATATTAAAAGTCTCCTGCTAAAAAATAAACTTATGCTACCAGTAAAAGATCAAAAACATTTATGAAATTAAAAATTATTGAGAGTACATATGAAACAAACTCTGCATTGAGCTTTTAATTAAAAACATTACCCTGTAAACTAAAGCTGAAGGCTTAAAAATAGTAGTCAAAGTGAAAAGAATTACTGAGGTATCTTTGTGTAAGTTTGAAATTTCTGAGTAAATTTCTGAATAAACATAGGAAATCCCACTGGAAAGAAATGAAAAGAGGCAAAAGGACTCTAGACAAAAAAGTTGCAAAGCAGATGCATAATTTTTGTAAGAGAATGAAAATGCTCAGTTTCCCCACCATACTGCCACAGAGCAGGCTAATAGTCATAAATAAGAAATTACTCTTAATGGGGGAAAGGTTGGGAATACCTTTGGCAATACTATTTGTGACTCTGTCTCCCTGCAAAAAACTGCTTCCTCACAATGGCAGATGAGGAAGAAAAACAACAACAAAAAATGCTCTCTCCTTGCCCTAATTTTTTCATTTAAATTCAACAGCAAACCCTTTTTGACTGCTAAATCCAGCACTGGAATTCAGTATGACAGTTTGTTGGAGGTCTAGAAGCAAGGTGTGTGACACTGTCACTGTAAGAACAGTTTCAGCTTGCTTTAGACTCTAGAAAATTGAGGCATTTATTTTCTGCAGACCTCCAGAAGGGTGTAACGTGAGGTTTCACTTGTTTGAGTCTCAAAACTGAAGTTAGGAAGCTTTGCCTAGCTGAGGAGGAGGCTGCTGAGGGGACAGCTCAAAAAGCCACTGGTACAAAGGTAACAAAAATCCCACACGTTGCTAACGCAACACCGCTTTAAGGCAAGGTGTCCATATATTTGACACTGCTTTTGGAGCAGGAGTGAGATGTGAACATCTGAACATTCCACTGTGCCCTAGCCCGAGATCAGCTTGACCAGCAAAGACACAACAAAGGTGGCACTAAGCACCTGACAGCTGGATTTGTCCAGGTTCTCCTTACGTGATTGTCCACGGGCGTTCAGGCACGTAGTCACGTTGAGAGAGGCAAGTTCTGCAGCACTGCTTCTTGGTGGGCTGGTTTTAGTAGCTGCTGCCTGTCTTCTTTCACCTCTACCAGCAGCAGACAGAACCTGTGTGTGCTGGAAGACACTGGGCTGACTGCAGTAAGAGTTAACCACTAGCACAGCTGAACCCCACAAACAGACTGATGTAAAATGAAGTACCGGGACTTCAAATGGATCACATCTGACCTTTTTAATGGCACTGCAGTGAAGAATCAGAAGAAATAAATCCATTCTCAAGAACACGGTTTGAAAATACAACTGGCTTTTTGGAAGCTTTATGCTTGGATTTCCTTCTCTACTGATTATAAATGGCAGCTGACATTTATAGTCCTTTTTGAGAAGCATTCGTGTCACCTTAACAGAGGGAATGTGGGACAGACTGTGACTCTTACAAAATGATAGTTTAAAAAAAAAAAAACCCACTCAACTCTCAACATAAAAAAGTACCAATATGAAAACTATAATCTGTATGATTATCCAAGCCATACTAAAAACATTTTAACTCAAATACAATACATAATATCTCAAATCACGAGATTGCTTTGTAAGAGGGCAAACACCTCACTGAAGGTTTTAATCTTTTGAATGCCAAGATGGCATTAGTCAGGGATCATAAATCCACATGTAAATTGGCAGCTTTCTTAATTTTCTGGCAGTTCTTTCCTGAACTCACCACATGCAGCCAAGAGCAGATGACACATTATTTATGCTCAATAATTCTACATGTGCACCATTTTCAGCCTTAACTTTTGAAAAACAGAGATAAATAACAATCAATGTTCATGTACCCTTTATTTGCTTTCAGTGTAACATTCCATGCTAATTGCAGATGTAATATTCATGAGTGTAAATATAAGAATTAACAACTCTGGGTTGGTTTTCTTCCCTTTTTACACGTGAATATTTTGGCTTACAAAATTAACAGCATACAGTAAATAATCCTCCCATACTTTGTACAAACTACATGATTTTGATATACAAGGATTCTGTTTTTATTACAGTGACAATATACAACCACATCTATTTACAATGCAAAAAGTATATAAACCACATTTTAAACACTCTGCTACTGGCAGCCACTATTGTTTAGGAGGTAGCTTTAATTAACAAAATGAACTGAAGCCACATTTTCCATCATGGGTTCTATCAAATAACTTACAATACAAAGATAAAAATTCATTGTATGAACAGTATGTACAGTTTAATTCTCAAAACAGCAATCTAGCTTTAATTCTTACTGAGAATGTCTCCAGAGTGACTGGGACGGCAGTGGATTTGCTCTTGATTTAGCGTATTGTTCAAGAAACATACATAAATACTTAATCATGCATTCATAACTTTATATCCATCAGATTTCAAACTAAATATAGAGAAAATGGATCACTGATTGTACTTAAATCATTAGGGTCTCAGGACTTTAATGGTTTAAAAAGATTGCACTGATTTATGTGAAAATCAGTGACTTCACAGAGTGTACTTCACTCTCAGTAAAATAATTGGAAAAATGCTTTTCTTCATTGCCAAATTGCTTTGCATTTTCCCTCCATTTGCTCAGTCTATCCATAAGTATCACTGGAGTGCTGTAACATTCAACAGGCTGCAGAGCATTAGTCAGTCTTTCTGCAAAGACATGAGCTGTGTACACTGACAGCACTGCTAACACCCCCTGATACATCAACATTCCTTCCAATGGTATGACTTGACTGCATAATACTGAAGAAACTTGCTGTGGTTCACCTGAAGTAATGCATCATCACTGGAAAAACATGTTCAACCCTACTATTCCTGACAACCTCATATTCTTATTCCCCTAATCTATAGAATATTGTGGATTACAAGTGCTTTACTGCAACAAACCCTTTTTTCTTTTAATTGAATATTGGCTTAAAATACAAAACAAACATAGTATTCCTATATTGCTGTCACAGTTACGTATGGGAGAATTAATCCCTTTTTTGGCCCTGCAATAAAATTCATCCTGAGATTCAATGCTGAATACACTATACAAAGCTAGCAAGAGATTTTTTTTTTTTGCTTAATTATAGAAAAGTTACATTTAAAAATAATTTCTATAATATCAAACAGCTGTCCTTTATATTGTGCTTTGGCGGGGGGGTGGGAGGGAAATCAACAGAACTTAACCTCGCCAACAGCAGAAGCAAAGTACAACTGGAGCACAATGTGGAAACACACCGTTAGCATGTAAAAACCGTATAAAAGAAACCACTGTTGCGTGGAAAGAGTAAAAATATCGGGTAACAAATTTGGTTTACCAATTATTTACACTCAGGGCAATTGATTTATTTGTTTAAAATTTTTTTTTTTTAAATGTATGGCTCAAGAAGTTGCTGCCCGCTTCCCTTCTTTACAAACGACACCAAACAATGATTACAAAAGTGCTTCCTGCTCGAAAGGTCAAAACAGGCAACAGTCTGCAAAGCATTACACCTCTTTGCTGGAACAGCTGGTGGCAGAAAGCCTTTTCAGTCTTTAATTCTTGGTATGTTGTAGGCGTAGCGGACCAAAGGGAACCCTCGGCTTTGGTAGAAACAGGCGCGGCCACAGGCCTGCACTTGGTCCGAGCTGTCCGACACGAAGGAGTCGTCCTCGTCCGCGTAGTCCGAGTGGGCCGACTGGGTGCCACAGTCCGACCAGTAGCCATCCGGCCTTTGGCAAGGCACCACTGCCAGCGTGGGGCAGCTCTGAGACTTTATTAAATGTTTACAGGGCACGGGCTTGGACAGAAGGAGCGACTCGCAGCACTCGCACACGGCGATGTTACCCTGCAGGTGGGAGTAAACGCCGCAGTCGTAGTAAAAATCCTGCGTGGGGCAGCCCCCTTGAGCGTTGACGGCGATTGCTACCGCGCCGTTCTTCCTGGTCAGGTGGCGCCTGAGCATCTTCCAGTCTTCTTTGAACTTTGGGTTGAAGAATACGTACAGGACCGGGTTCAGGCAGGCAGGCAGCGGGAAAAATATCAAAGTGACAGACTTCATGATTTCGGGGCTGATAGAAATCGCGGTGATCAACGGCGCGAAGGAGAAAAACGCAACAGGGCAGAAAAAGATGCAGTTCGTGAAGATTAGCCAAGCAACATGCTTAATCGTGCTGGACTGGGAGTTTTCGGAGAGATCCTCTTTTTCCAGGTTGCAATACAGTTTAGTGTAGATAACAGCCATTAGCAAAAACGCTAACGAATTCAGGAGCACCAAAGTTACTGTGAAACCAAGTGAAGGCGTTTCTCCAGTGGGGAAGGGCAAGCAAAGGGGGGATGCCGAGTACTCAGCTTTATAAAAAAGTGGTAAGCATCCCGCTACCACGGCACACAGGAAAGCAAAAACTGCTGCAATTTGGAATTGTTTCTGGCGATTGCTTTTCCCCTTTTTAATGAACTCCTTCGCAGAGAAGCTCCGTTCAACAGCTGCCAACATCAGGAAAAAAATGGCACTTTCTGATGAAAAGACTGCAAGAAACCCAGCAACTCTGCAACCACTGCCAGTCTCCCACCATATGCCAAATTCAGCAAATCTTCCCCAAGAGACAGCATCCAAGAAAGTTAAAATACCAGTATAGACTCCCATAAATAAGTTAGAGACAGAAATCAGGCTTATAAACAGTTTGGAAGATGGCAATGTAGTACAGGATGCAAATATTGTTAACATGACAAGCAGGTTGAAGAACAAAGCAACCAAAAAAATAAACCAGACAGTAAGTCGAATCATCCAGCTGCCCAATAAATATTCACAAGGCTTAAAGGCACCTAGAAGAAAACAAAAAACAAAGAGAAGGACAACCAATTTAGGAAAAAATTCTGCCTTAACAAGCAAGATTTTGAAAAGGTATTACAAGAGTACTCATTAATTAATGAATAGAGTACACAGCTCAACTGCTAAATAGGTCAGTTGAAAGTAAACTATTCTGCTGAAGCTATTTACTAATTAATTATGCCTGAAATAATAATTACCACAGTGAATGGTCACTTGAGAACACTTTGTATAAACAAGCTAGCTAAACAAACTTAATTACTTTTAGCTACTCAAAATAGCTTTTATTAGTGCCACCCAAATACTTTATTTTATTGAGATTTTATACATCATAAAAAAAGATTGGCAAAAAATGTGAAAGCAAATGTTCACAACCCACTTGTAAGGGGAAGGACTTTTTTAGAAGGAACATGTTCTCTCAAAAAATGATTAACAAACATGCCTTCTGGAGTAACTTTTGGTCACAAGGAAACATCTGTAAAACAGCCGACAAATTCAATTTAATCAGCTTCAATAAGGACAGGAATTTACCACAAGCCCTGTCCTCCATCCTTGTCACTGAAACACACTGTGAGCTTGGAAAGCCATATGGGAAAAAGATTTTTTTTTCTTCTTCTTTCGCCACTTAAAAATGCTTAAATAGTAAAAAAAGCCCAGCAAGCAAAATAACAGGAGGCAAGACAAGGAAGAAAGGTCACTACTACTGCTTATCCTTCTAATCCTTCTAATTGCTATTTATTCCACAGGGAAGTCCTACTGATTTTAAGTAACAGTTAGAAGAGTTGAACCTCTCCTATATCCCCATTAGGCACCGCTAACTGTCCAAAGCTCAACAGCTGGGGATCCCTCCCTGCAGTCAGGGAGCTGAAGGAAAATGCCAAACTGTGCAAAGGCTGGAGCTTCTGAGCCACACTCAGCCTGTGACCCTGGCTCTGCACAGCACATGCCTTCCCTTTTGGCAGGGGAAAGATAAGGACAACCCATCCCTAACATGGGCTGAAACAGAACTGCACAGAACGACTAAATGTCAGTGCAGGGATCTCCCAAGGCCTTCCAGCAATTAATGAACTGACGAGACAAAAATTAATATTTTGCTCGTTTAAATGAGCGAGCTTCATTTATGGGCATGAAATAATGGTGCTCACTGGATGAACAGACCAGTAAAATCAGCAGTAATATCCCTTTTTAGGAAGTATGCCCAAGTAAGGCATCCATGCCAGAATAATCAGTTTTACAATACGTTCACATGACACAACGATACCAGCTAAGCTGATCTACATAAAAATAAAAACAACTTCCCACTTAGGAAACTTAAAAATGTCAATTCTGTGCTTATAAAAATCAATTTGAAGCCATTTTTCTAGAAGCTGTACTTTAGACAAACAAAACCCACCACCCTTTCCTATCTTTCTCCTGAAGCCTTGCTATCCTTAGAGTTAAAAGCTACCCTCCTCTCTCACTGATATTTCCAGCCCATGTGGGAGGAGGGGAAAAATTCATTCTCAGAAGGATGAGTTTCACATCTTTCAGAGAACCTGAGCTACTTGAACACCACTGTTCAGCAATCCATTCCTGCCATTAGGCAAAGTAAAGGTGGATCTACAAGTTGAGCAGTGATTCAGAACTTACATGGTGGGTGGAGAATCTTACTTATGACCAGATGACAACATGGCACAGAAACTTGTTAGTATGGGAGGGACTGGTGAAAAACAAGGCAAATTTTGAACTTGTAAAACAAGCTCTTCGTTCCTTTTAGATCTACTACAGCATTTCTGGCATGGGCAAAAAGACAGAACTGAAGACTTCAAAGATTTAACCCATGTAACACACCATCTGAATTCTCATTCTGTGAACAGGAGATCAAAAGCAAATAAGTAGCATTAACAAATTAACTCTCAGATTATGTACAATTACATTAATAATATATTTGACTGTCTGACCACAGTTCTTTTTGGCTGTGATCAAGAAATCCTTGTGATATGCTGGATACTAAAGCTCGAGCTAGCCCAAAAGATGGAGAATGAACAGATTTTCATAACGTAAAATACAAGTTAGGAGAAAAGAATGAAATAAGACTTGGATAACTCCTGCTCATCCAGAAGTAACTTTACTGGAAGCATACTGTTTTCCCCATCTATGTGTTCCTTTTTATGCAAACAGGAGCATACAAGATGTACGGAAGGAATCCTCTGGAGAGGCTGTGGCAAAGGCAAGGAAGTAGGAAGCACCACCATAATTGCTTTCAGGAGCTGAGTGGAACTATGTATGGAAATTTGCAGTTTGAGAAAGAGAAGCAGAAGGGCAGAAAAAAAGCCTGGAATGGAAATATTCATTGCAAAATCAAAGACTTTCAACACTCATGGACTGTTCAAGCCTGAATTGGTAGTTCTGGTATGCCAATAAGACTGTTCATTGCACAAGTGTCTCTAGCAGTTTAAGATGCTACTGCCTACTCCAACTACTTGTAACAGCCCTCTGCTCTCACTTAATGCAGCTACAGCAGGGCTGGGGAACAGATCAGGTGAGTGTTCCTCATCCACTCTCCTGCAAAGACACCAAGCTTCGTTAAAGCCACCAATGACAGCAGTCTGAGTCAAGCTTTCAGAACAAGGGCTGAACTGCCACTGAAACAGGTGAGCATTCATCCAGTCTGCCCCACAGACATCTCCTTGGCAAAAATAAAGCAGAATTAGGGGGCACAGTGCATTAAATACAGCAGACTCCAAATACAAGTATTACAATCTTGATTGTTCTGCTTATGGAAAGAAACTCCAGTATTTTTCCTAGCATAGTTCTCCAATAAAGTGCTGTGTGTCTAAAGCTCAGTCAAATCTTTGTGACTGCTCATCCAAAACTGACATCAAGTGATGTTTCACCCAAAGCATTGTATAAATTAATCTCCTGTGCACAGAATGATTACCAGGAATAAAACATGTAATTCTGCAGCCAGCTCTTTGCGTAACACCATGCCTGAAGTTCACAGTGTGGCTAAAGCACGTTACAGGATTTACCTGTTGCTGGTGTACAGTGAATAATAGTCTGTCCCAGTTCCTCATTTTCCTCATTTCTCAGAACATCAGCTGTAAAAGTGAAAAACACGTTAGTCATAGAAAGAAAATAAAAGTGAAATGCAGTGAAGCTGCCTAGGATGGGAGTAGTCTTTTGAGGGATCAAAGACCTAACAGTTCACCAGCTCTCCAGCCTTCAACAAGTGGAGTTGCTCTGGTTTGCCACATAAGGTCAGAAGCTCAGTGCAGAAATGGTTGCAGCAGTTTGAGTTACTCCTGCCTGACCCAGGTACTCACAATGCTTTATAACAAAGCAACATCTTTGATCACCAGGACTCTGAAACAGACAGTGGAAGGGACAAGCCCTGTCTGAATAGGAAGGTCGAAACACTGAGAACAATAAAACCATGACAGAAGCAATATTTGCAGTTTGAATTTTTTTTTTTAAAGTTGATTTTTTTTTCCATACAAGCAAGTTTTACAGCGCCCAACAAATACCTTTCACACATTTAGAAGGAACAAGGTACTGCTATTTGTTAGCAATTGCTAAGCACTTTCAGTTTTTGTAGCCCTATAAAGATTTACATTTCTCATACTCCCTTATTCAAAGACAACATACACTGTTATCTGAGTCCAGCACAAAACAATACTGCTGGTTATGTACAATGAAACATTTACCCTTCTCACGATCCATCAAGGCACCTTGATCTTGGTGACTGGAATCTTCAGCATTAGAGTTTAAATAAGAATCACAGCCCCAAAATGCACAGCACTGGTAAGCATATGGTACAGAGAGTGACCTGAAATACAGGCAGAACAACGAAGACTGGTAAGCATTGTAACCAAAGTTAAGATTACTATCTATTAAAAATATTTAGATAGCACACTTCAGTGCTAAACTTAAAGCTTCTTTTTTTGCAGTTGCCAATAAAAAACTACTTCAATTTGGAGCAGGTATAACCATTTCTGACAAACTCTTACACTGAGATAAAGGACAGGTGATGTATACAAGTCTTGCCTGCTGTGAGAAGCACAAAGAAAATGTCACTATGTTTAGCCCTCTACTATTCATTCTATTCCGTATACAAACCAAATTCTGATCAGTGTTTGTGGTGTTGCTGTACCATTGAAACTGAAAACTAAATAAGCACGCTAATTAAAGAGTAACTGTTTTGTAAGAAAGTTAATTCCCAGATGACTACAAGCTTTTAAGTTACCTCTTTCCTTCTCACTCTTCGTTTGTGGTACCAAAATAAGATTTCTAATTTTTTTTACACGTGTTTGGCAGAAATGGTACATACTATTATTCCGGCAGAGAAGTACACCTGCACACAGAGTTCTAAAAAACCCACATAACCCACATAAGCAATGAAGTAATAGCAGACCAGGAGCTAATTTTTTCTGACTCAAGACTACATTATCAACTATCTGCAGTATTGCTCCTGAATTCTCTTCTTGTAAATATTTAGGAGGGACGTCAGTCCAAAGAATCCCAGAAAGCATGAATTCTCAAACACAGATCAAAACCTGGAAAACAATCTGCTGTTTCCACAGTACTGCTGAAGCTTGATTCTAAAAGTGACATGGATTCTTTTACTGGCCTTAGACAAATTAACAGTAGCTTCATCTCCACTTTTTCCATTGGGCAGTGTGGGAAATAATTTATAACTGCTTCTTCTTAACGTGCAGAAAGATCTTTGAAAATGGAAAGCAGTTCATCCCTGTCTGATCCACCTCCCACAGAAATCAGTCACAAGTTTCCATTTGAGTGATTATTGTTACTCTTATCATTTGCCTCCAAGAACAAATGGTGTATGTATAAAGCATGGAGATCATGGAATGAGACACCTGTGCATCTGCTCCCATTTTCCACAGTAAAAGACAGATGTGCTCAGTTCAATAACAAATGGAAATCCACCCAAACCACTCCTCCCAAGTGAGATGGTGTCTGCCTGGAAAGTGGTGGAGGAAAAATAGAAAAGATACCAAGAAAATTGTCTGCAGATGGTTTCTTACACCAGAAGAGTCAGATGCCCTTTTATATCTACCAGCATTGAGGCACTACAGGACTCAGCAAAGGGCCTGATCATTTGTTATGAGTACTGTCTAAACTGGCTTCATTTATTGCCACATTGCTTGTTGCTGTGAGAACAAAGGAGGCACTCTGTGGCGTTATTTACCAACGTACCGGAGCTTCGCGAAGTTCTTTGCTGCCAAAGCTTCTTTCAGCTCAGAATTGCCCGTGAGTTTAAGCTGGTTCAGCCCACTCAGTCCTTCAGTCGGAACTGAAGTGAGTTCGTTGAAACTTAGGTCTCTGGAATGTGAATATTAAGACAGTGTTACAAACAAGGTAAGTTTGAAGACCCCATAGCATACACTTCATTGAAGCAGGAAGGACTTTTGAAGTCTCACAGAAGGCTGTGGTCTGGCATATACCTGTCAGTGCAGCAGGCACTCTAAACAAGTGTGCCCTGCATATGTTCAGCTAGCAAGAGGCTTCCTGATTTACAGATATTAAATGATGAGCATATATCAGTTTTAAGCTAAAAATATTCACTATCTCAGAAGTTTTATAATAGAGAGAGGAGGTGACTGCACAAATAGCCTACTTACAGGTTAACAAGAGCTCCAACAGAGATAAAAGCTTCTTTGTGGATCTGACGAATCCGATTTCTACTGAGGTCCCTGCAATGAATGCCAAGGGAGATTATTTTAGCAGTTTCACCAAATCTTTGTAACAGCCACTGTACTAAGAAAAAAAGCTAAGATCATTTCCCCTCTCTTCCCAGTCAGCCAGGTGCAGTAGCAGCCAAATCCCTTGGTAAGGCAGCTGTATCTGCTTCACCTCATCCCCACAGTTGAATCCATCTCCCACTCCTGCTCCCTTTCCCTTCCTTTCTGCTGCCAGGAGCACAACCTGTGCTCCCAAGGCAGAGGCTGGCTCTGGCACCACCTATTCCCAGCACGAAGGTGCCAGGACAACCACTTTGGTGACAACTGCACCTCTAGCAGGGCAACTGGCAGAGGTGGGGAAGAAACCAAAAGAACAGGCAGAAGAGCATCTGCATTTTTGGATGTCAAAATCCAGCTCCAGCTTCTGCTGGGCCACCACGACTTATTCTTTTTAAAATACCCGTCAATTTGTGGATTTTTTTCCCGATAATTTAAAATGTTTCTCATATAATCTTCATATACCTAGAGATGTAAAGGGACAGGATAATTTTGTTTACTGATCTGCTCCTCCTGAGGAAAACAGATAGGATCTCTCCAATAAATACTACATAATGGAATAATATGGTTATAATGCAAAATAGTGGAGCACTGGGAAAAAAGATCTCATTTTCAGTCTTCATATATATAAAAATATAGGCTACAAAAAATAGAGAGTAGAAGGAACAGGGCTGAAACTGGCTGCTGCTAGTATCTCTTGTACTTGGTTTACTTTATCTTAGGATCCAGCATACCTGGCCTTTTGCCATCAATCAAATTTACAGCACCAAACCCTGACATCCGTTTACACGGGAATCAAAAACATGATCTCGTTTTACTCAGCACTGTAGCTATGTACACTTACAGGATACGAAGGGAGGACAGTCCTTGAAAGGTGTCCTCTGCAATTTCATGGATTTGATTATGTTGTAAGGAACTGCAAAGGGAAGAAGCAGAAACAGAACTTTATTAGCTAACTGGGCTGACTTGAAACCAAGGGAGAGCTTGGTACCTGCTAATGCATGTATTTAGCCTTATCAGTGGTAGGATTTTTCTCATTTCCCCTGGTGGGCAGACAGTGTTTAACTGTTTTACATTAGCTACATTAATACAACCATGAAGCACTTTCGTGGCACCTCCGTCCAATGCACAACTCATTTAATTTAGAAAAGACTGTTAAGTGTGGGCTGAATTACTTTCAAGCTAAAAATAACACTGTGAATGTTGAAGAGTCACACTAAGATTTAAAACAACTGTACTCCATTCTGCAGGAAGTCTTTAGGCATATTTTAACCACAGGTACACTTCCATTTTCCAAAATGCAGATTTATGAAAGGAAAATATTGACAAATGCCTCAAGAGCTAGTGGGAAAATTTTAATTCCAGTTCACTAGCTCCCTTTACAGTGAACAATGGGTATGAGCCTGGAGATGTCATGAGTACAACAAAGGTCCATAGGCCTGCTAGCCCCACTCTGATTAAGGGGATAGAAATTTGAGAGGTAGAAGGAGAAGTAAGAACATACACAAGTGGAAAAATTGCGTAGGGTCTGGCAATTAAGCTTAAGTAGATTAAAAGCAATGAAATAAGGAAAAACAAACATGGGGTTTAAATGTGTCTTGCAGGGACTGGGGAAAAACCTCATTTTACACAAGCACATGGTGATGGCTGGAGGGAACTGAAGAGTGGAAGGGATAACAGGCAGGAAGGAAAAGATATAAATGCTCATTCCATTTATGTGCACAGCAATGCTGCCATGAAACGTGGGATTGAGGTGTGTCTTTCATTTCTTTTGTGCCACAGAGATAATTAAACATTGGCTAGTTGAGGAAAACGCACGTGGTTGAATTCTCTGTCCAGCACACTCCACTCCTCACAGAAGGTGGTCATCTCTGTCCTTAATTTTAGAAACTTACAAACATGAAACAAAAAAGTTTCTAGGGACGTGGACTCAGCATACTAAGGAGTTAATAAAGATAAACAACACTTATTTCTACTTACATTTCTTCCAAGGAATGGCAGCCCTTAAAACTTGGGAGGTCCTTTATATTGTTATAAGACAAGTCCCTTCAAAACAGAAAATAGGAAAAAGATGCTTAGTTCACATTCCTTTCTACTTGAAACCTCCCATCACTGGTAACTGTTAAATAGACTGACAGAAAAATCTTCCTGTTAGTACCATTCTGTGGAAAAACTAAGGGCAGTTTAGAGAAAATCACAGAGGGAACCCCAAGTGTATATCTTGGTATACACATACCCTAAAAAACATAGTGTATAAGTTCCCCGAATTTTGAGTGTTGTAATATAAAAAAAGCTTATTGATAACCTGCTTTTTTTTCAGAATAAACTGGATAAATTGTATGTAAGGCAGGAATTTGGTGCCAGTTTTGATGTAGTGTGCTGGTATCTCCTTAAGCAGAGCTAGGAAAGCTCAGAATGTTCTCTGAAACTATGTAGCAAAAAAAAAAAAGAAACTAGAACAAGCTAATAATCTCAAAATCTCTATTCAAAAGATAAACTGCTGTTTGAAAATAAATCCCACCCTATCATTCCTTCTCCCCATTTTTACTTATATAAAACAGAGCGTACTTTTTCTCCTCCCTTTTTCAGGATTTGCTTTTGTTCCACATTTTCCTGCGTGTATCCTTCACAAACATGGTTTATCCCTACTGTCCTGATGGCTTCAGATACCAGTTTGGGGGTTTTTGCATTAATTTTAACACATCCTTACTCCTTTTTCTGTTTGAGCTTTGTATTGCTCTGTCCCGTGTTCCCGGACACGAAAAGTCAAAGCACCATAATAAACTCTTCCTTAACCTCTGAATGTAGATGTTGTGTTAAGGATGAATGGTGGCAGAGTGAATCTGAACATGCAAAGACTGTTCTCTGCAGCACCATCTTACATATCTCTTATAACACATGAAAGAAATATAGTGCATCCCTACAAAGGGGACTCTGTTTAGGGAATGTAAGGCATTACATCAACTCTGCCAAATGTCTTGATATGAAGAACCAAAAAACCAAAATTTCCAACTTTGAAAGAACTACTAGGATGAGCAATTCAAAGCAATACTTTTGCTCTAAATTAAAGTTTCTTTCAAAGCATTCTGATGCAGATGAAAAGAGAGGCACAATATGTCTACTTACAAAGTTCGAAGGACCTTCTGCTCCTGGCATAAATTAACAGGAATACTGTTTATCTTGGTCCCTGTTAGAGTTCTGTGGAGAAAAAAAACCACACCAACAAAGTCACATATCTAAATGCCTGTATTGTTGATGGCAGATGGCATAACAAGCATATATAAGAGCAGAATAAGGATGGTGTCTCAGCTATCGGGGTGCTAGATTCACTCACCAAATTTTTTCTTTTTTTTTTTTTTTTTGGAAGAGGACAACTTTTCTGTTTTTCAGTTCTGTGAGAGGGGTTTAGTACCAATGGCCTTTTCATAGGCTTTTATCAGCTTACCCTACTGAAAAAACAGTGCCTCAAAACGTCAAAAGGCACCCAGGTATCACAGTAAGAAAAGCTGTATCATTACATCTATTGACAGGAAGAGAAATATATGCAGTTGCTCTCCAGATCCACTTATCGTATTTCAATTACTTCACAAGAAGCAAACCCAAGAAATTACTGAAATTTATTTCTGTAGAAGATACTTACAAGCTCTCCAGGTTTACGGTTCCTGTCAAATTAGGAAACCACTGCACCATGCTGGCACCCCGAATGACCCTAAAGAAAATCCCCATGGAAATTAGCTGTAAACTGTTATGAAATTGAGTTGTGACATTCAATCTTATTATCAGGTAGATATTTGCACTAAGGAGACATTCTAACACTCTCACTGCTTTTATTTAAATTTTACACTTGAATAGTGTGTGAAAGATGGTCTTTTCACTGCTTTTTATACTTCTCTGCTTGATGAATAACTCCTCCATGAGCAAACAACTGGAATTCATCAAACTGGAAAGAGTGATATCAATACACTTATGGAAAGTATAGTTTGCAGTTCAAAGTTTCACTCCATTTTGCTTATTTGTCACCCCCAGAAATGATATCTTTTGAGGGCATGCATGCACTAACCTGCAAAACATTCTCACAATGTACATCCCCCTTCAAAAAAAAACACTGAGGACATATTGCAGTTTGTTTAAGTAAGAACCTGAGCTTTTAGCCTGGGGTTATGTGTCTTATGAAAGGTAATAAAAAAAAAGTTTGTAGAGGATATTTACTAGAGCTTCTGAAGAAACTGGTATTCCCAACAACAACAATTTTGTTAAAACTTACTGCAAGAAAATTATAAGGTAAGAGGGAGTCAGAAAATTTATTTATTTTGAGTTCTTGGCCACCGTATTTCATACCCATTCATTGTACTATATTGTCAAGAGAGTACTTACAGGGAATGCAGATCTGACAGATTCTGAAATGCTGAGTTCCCCACAAAAGACAAAGGATTATCATACAAATGTCTGGGAAATGAAAAACATGTTTCAATGGTTGTTCTTAGAGTCACCATCTGCTAACAGCTAAAAATAGATGCATGAAAATTACTTACATCGTTCGTAGAAGGGGGTTTCCTGCAAATGCACCATCAGGAATTATGGAAATGTAGTTACTGTGAAATCCCCTAAAGATATCAGCAAAGAAGAAAATCAACATTTAAAAATACACTGCCAGCAGATTCAACCAAGAGTTATTTTCTTCACATCTACTCAATTCCCAATCCTGTCAAAACCAAGATTGCAATTAAATAGGAATAAGTTAAACTGTAGGAATAACTTTAAAGGTATGATTTCTGCCCACTGCACATCAGCTAAACTGAAAATATTTCATTAGAAAGAAATTATTCTGTCCAAACATGATGCTGTACTTTCACTTTTCTTACTCCTCTCTTAAGAAGGGGACAAAGAAAACATGTATGATCAATGAATACTTAATTCTGCTACTGGAAGCCAAAACCAGCTTGTGATTAAGATCTATGCTAATGGTTCTCCTGAATAAATTGCTTGCTTATGTAACTCAAAAATAATTTTCAACACATTCCTCTCTAGATGATGATTATATTTTTCTTTAATTATAGCTTCACTTAGCATAACTTAAACTGATTTAGGCTGCTGCATAATGAGACAAACACTCTTAAATCCAGGAATTTCTTTTCTTTTTTATTTATGGAAAGGAGAAAGAAACCAGTGAAAAGGGAGAATAAGTAATACTCACAACTCCTTTAGACTTGGGAGAGCTTTTATGGCTTCAGGGAACTCTACCATATTATTATAATTTAAATCCCTAGAAGAAACAAAGCAAGAACATTAAAAAATTTTAATAGTAGTCATGAATTGTCAAAACAGTTTTTCTTTAAGACAGTCCAATGAAAGTAAAAAGTTCTCAGAACACCTTTAACTAGACCAAAGAATAACTTCAACTTAGATTTAGTCTTCTGATGTTTTACATGCTTTATAACCAACTAATAACTTAGGTAAGATATTTAATATTATCCAGAGGATTATTCATATTAAGTCAAATAATATTTCCTTACGGCAAAGCTCAGTATTTTTCAATACCTCACAGATTTTTCTTCAACAGAATTTACATGGAAATGAACTATGATTTCAAAGATTATTAAATAATTTAAAAAAACCCTAGTAAAAATGATTACTCTTTATTAATTTACTAAGAAACTTTCTGTCCAGGTTTTATAAAACAACCAGTAAAGAAGCCATTAGGTAACAGCAGACCTCATAGCAAAAGCAATTACAAATAAAATAAATTAGAAGCACAGGGAAGTCTCATGACACCGAATCAGTACACGAGTGCAGGGATCTGTTGAGTTCTCAGTTAACATTGCACTGTTCTAGCAGTAATGTCAGGGCTTGTCACAGTCTTTTTCTCTGCAAAAGGGATTCCTTTATGAGCAGCAAAACCCATTTTCAGTCTCACACCAGCTGCGTGTGTTTACACAGAATGTCATTAGTTAACTGAGGTTCTAAGAGACTGACAAGATGGAGTAAGCAGCATTTCTGGACTCATCCAAATTCCTCAAGTTAACAGAGGCTGTCACTGGCTTGCCCTTGCCCTCCTTGCTTAGTTTTATTTATTTAACGTTCTCCTAAGCATAACAAAACGCACGGCTAAGGGAGATATTGCTTGTTAGATATTCACTGAGTGAGCAAGGGAAATGGGAGATGTAACCCAAGCAGCTGAAAGCCCTTCCTTGCCCATGAGGCACTCTGGAGGAGGAGGAGCAGTGAAGAAACAGCCCACTGGGGCCCCCTCGGAAACCTCCTATTGTCACCCGACAGTTTTGGCAATGTATCTTAAATGTGTTTAATCCTACAGCAAACCCGAGAAACAAATATTTGTCCCTTATCACCCCTGGGGCCACTCAAACACTTGTGATACATCCACCTGACTCAGTGGAGTGCTATGCAAAGATACACCAGCTAGATCAGGGCTAAGAACATTAGAGCCACATCATCCAGCACGACATTTCACCCAGGCTAATATTTACCTGCTTCTCAACAGAGTTAATTAGTTTTGGTGGAGCACTGCACTGATACCAGCCTTCAGTTCCAAAACCTGAGCTGGACCTAAGTGTTAGTGGCATGTGTTGCACAGTGCCTGATTTGCAAAACCTTCATCATAACAGTATGGTAACCTTGATTAAGCTGAGAATGAGACAAACACTGAACAAGAAATTGTTTTAAGAAACATACTTACAAGGTTTCAAGGTTGTCTAATCCATCAAAACAGTGCTTTCCTATAGTTTTTATTTTATTATTATGAAGATGTCTAAAAAGTAAAACCAAAACAAAGTGAATTATTTCCTATAAGTTAACACATTAGCAGATATTTCTATGAACTCAAGAGAGTTCAATGGTTTAGAAAAAACCATTGCACGGGGTAGATTACATAGAAGAATATCTTTCACTCCCAGACAGAAATATATCATCCTCATATTGGAACAGAATAGATTGCCTGCAGTCAAGACAACCTATTTTAATTCTTTATTCACCATCCAGAAGTGTGATAAAAATATGATTTAAACATATAAATCAAACTAGTTTTTCACATTATTTCTTGGAGGTTTTTAAGCCTACACAGAAACACATCTCAGATAAAACATCATTTTTTCTTCTTTTAATATCTCTGAAAGCTTTCTCTGACAACCACTGGTTTGAAATATTCATTCCTATAATGAGATATCAGGAATACATAAATCAAATTTCACTACCCACAGCCCATCTGACTTTCTGTTTAGGAGAAAGTCTTGAGCAAACCTTGGGCGGGTTCTCTAGTGCACATGGTATCATCTGGTGCTGGCAGCACAGGCTGTCTCTAGGATAACTGAGCTAAAACGCAGCAAAACAACCCTTTTCAGCGCCAGCTCAGATTAATCAAAACCGGAACGGAGGGGGAAGGCGAAGTGACCCACGAAACACAAATACTCACAGGACAACAAGGCTGGAGAGGTTTGTAAATGCATAGTCAGGGACGTGTGTGATCTTGTTGAGGGCCAGCGTTAAGGCCTGCAGAGAGGGCAGGTTGCTGAGCGGGTAGATGGGAACTTCTGTCAGACTGTTGTCATCCAGCCAGAGGTGACGCAGCTGCACCAGACCCTCGAAGCTGTCCTCTGGTATGGCAGTGATGTGGTTGGCATCTAAACGCCTGTATTGAAACAGAAAGAATTCCTGTAGCAAACTCCCAAACTACAGATCAGCAGAAACATCAGTTGAAGTCCTATTACTCTTTTTTTTTTTCTCCCCCCACGCTTATATGGGTTTTACTGAAATAACCTGGAGGTTATTCTATACCACCCGATGCCATTGCTGGAGGCAGGAGGAAGGGAGACTCTTCTGGGAAGAAGGGGTCCCTGCCAGGTCCACATAGTGCTGGGGGGGAGCAGTTGGGTGGTGTTGTTTCCATGTGAAATATTCGCCTCTTTCTTGTACCCTCTGTCATTAGTATTGTTGTCGTTACCGTTTGTTTTATTATCTCGTTGTAGTTTCCAGTAAATTGTTCTGCTCTCAACCTGTTACCTTCACCTTTTGTGGCTCCAGTTCTCCTCTCCAGCCCACTGCAGGGGGAGGAGTGAGTGGGCAACGTGTGGTTTCAGTGGGAGCACTGTATTGGAGAATACCATTCTTAAACCACAACAGTGACACACGTGGAAGGTGACATACCTATCTTTCATGGAGAAAAATCAAACCACACGTAACTGCTACAGTTACCAGCTTACCTGTGCTACAGGGTTTCACCTCTGCTTCAGGTTTCAAAGCATCAAACAAAAGAACTCCACACCTGGAAAGCCAGGTTGCCAAAATGCATGTGCTCAGCTCCAGATGTGAAGCCCTCATGGCAGGAGGCACAGGTGTTACTGTCAGACCAGAACCCTGATCCACGACAACTGACAAACCTGATCCTGCAACTCGGTCAGGCTTTGGCAGTGACAACTGAAACTCTCACACAAAATGACACGGGATTTTTGCTCATGCCACACATTCTGGACCAATCTGTTTTTTCACCTTCCTTCACTAGCAGTGCAGTTGTTTGGACAGCACCACTGGCAGCCAGGGTGGGCAAAGGACACAGACAGAGACCAGTTCAGATTTGTCTATGCTATGCCACGTAACCATATGTGCTTGGGACAAAAGTGGAAAACCACCCTACTAAAAGCCTGGGCTTGGATTTAAGCATGTGGAAGCCCCAGGAATGAGAAGAGGAAAGGGATAACCCAGGAAAAAGCAAAACATTTATAAAGCAGTGATAGTCTGTGAGATTAAAAAAATGGACTGTAATGGATCTGAGAAGGCATAGGGCTGAGAGCACCAGGCAATTCTTGACTGTCCTCCGACCTAGACGCTGTCTTCTCTAGGTCAACACACAGCTGAACCACGTTGCTGCACACACAGTGACTTCACTGCAAACACAGAAGAAGACACCTTGCATAACTGTTCTGAAATGAGTGCTGTACCAGCCACGGCAGTGTGCTGCTGTCTGGGGAGACAGAACAGACACACCCTCCTCCACTAGCATTGATGCTTACAATGATACAAATCAGCAGAGGTCTGGAGTTATATTAATCATTCACTTTGTTTCTAAAGCCATGATCAGACATTCTCTTGAAAGTCTAGCTGGTAGTTTCAGAAGTCATTGCCTCCAGCCATTCATCTCAACCCTCTCCGGGCAGGCAGCGTGGACCAAGTGACTGCTGTGCTTGTCCCCAGGCACAGTCACAGTACTGAAAGTGGTTCTGGATCCCAACACTTAAAGGACATGCAGAATTCAAAGGGAGAAGCTGGGCAGGACAAAGAATTAATGCAGAAGACAAGTTTGATCATGAATTAACACAATCTATTTCCTTAAAACAGTTTGTTGTGATGCACTTGGTTTACATATTTCAAATTGTTAGGGAAGAAAAGTCAGCAGCTGAAATTCCATTTAATAAAAAGTCAAAAAATACATCAAATTAAGCAACAAATATACTAATACAAGTGGGAACTTACAAAACTGTCTGTAGTCAAAGCTCTCCCTTAAGATGAGTGAGGTGCCATTAGCTCTAAAACTGTACATCAAAGAGCTAATTCCTATGGTTCTTATACTGGCATCCCCTTATCATTTGCCCCATGGTCTGACAGGTGTGTATGATATTCTGTTTGAATGTTCTTAGGCTGTACTGACACTAGAACATTTCAGAGAAATTAAAGTCTGATGATAATAAAGGAAAAAAAAAAGGAGGGGGGGAGGAAAAAAGCCTGCGGCTCTGCTTCAGAAAAAAAAAAAAAAGGCAACTAGAAATTACCTGTCTTTCTTCTCTCCTAAATTCATACAGCTCCCTGAAGATCAAAAGAATTATTTCCCAGTGGAATAAACATATCTGAGTCTTCTAATTTCTCCCTGTCCTGCCCCCCCAATTGCGTTTTTGGGTTTTTTTTTGGTTTTGTTCTGAGGGGTTTTTTGGGGGGGGAGGGTTTATGGTTCTTTTAAGAGAAGCAGCACACTCAAGAGGCAGGCCTCAATCATTGTGCCTGGTTGTCAAGTGCATTTGCACTTCCCCTGCCTCTTTGCTAAATTCCATTTATTCTAGCAGACTCTGGAAAACAAAAACACACAAGGAAGCCCCAAGTCCTGCTCCTCCTCCCCCACCCTTAAAGCAGAAGATAACCAGGGGAAGGGTGGGTGCCTGCAACGAGGGAGTCGAGCTCTCAGCCAGGGAGAACAAAGAGGGTCAAGGAGAAGGAGCTGGACCCCGAATTCTTAGTTTGCTTTGCCAAGACCTCTGTTCCCCAGCACAGGCAGATCCGGTACCCCAGTAACTGCACCTTAAACTGATGGCTCTTCACAGCCATCCAGTCCCTTGTGCTTGTTTGCTCCTGCCCAGAGCAGTGAAGGTGTGGGTGGGGGGAAAGAACACCACCAGCCACCCACTGACATGGAGCAGGGAGGTTTGGAGGGTGAAAGGGAAGTTTTTAACTTATTTGGCCATTTCTGTCTTACCCATATTTCTTTTGTGTTCCTTCATGTCCCTTAGTGTAAGCTTAATATGCTATTTTTCTTTTCCAAACAGTCAAAACTTATCCTCGTGATGCTGAATGCACAAAACATGGTTGAAATGCTTCTATTTAGTGTGAAATGCATATAATGAAGCATTTAGTGAAACAACTGAAAAACAAACCTTTTTGACAACTTTCACAAAATATTAACAATTAAGGACCACACCTTTTCTTTAAGGTGGATAAGGGAGTATTCCCTGGCTATGATAACTAACAAAGTACAAGTAATATTCTCTGCTTGGACTGAACTTTGTACAAAGACTGTGTTTTTCCTTTGCAGTGTTGAAGACAAGACTATGTTCTTTAAAAGAGAGCTTGCAGCATGTACTTAGTTCCTTAATCTTCCAAAGCTACTCCAATTCCAGTTTTCCTATAGGCACTGGCTTGTGAGAGACCTTTACATTTTAGTCTGTAAATTCAGAGTTCACTTGGGGAGTTGTCATCTTCACTTTTATTACCTTTCAGGTTCCCTCCTCACACAAATACCAACTCCACAAGAAGAAAAGAGCAGGAGGATGACAGAAACCTATACATTCAGCAGTTCTTACCTCAGTATTTGATATATCGTTAAAACAAGGACATAGCAACTGAAAGGTCTATCAAACAATTATCTCTGCTTTAGGGAAACTAGGACTAACATGAACTCCTACCTCGATTCAAATGAGTAAGAGTTCCAAGCCTAACACACACATGTAAATGAAATTTTACACATATACACACGCACACTGCTTAGGGCAAGTGCCCTACAGCCTGCATCCCCTGTGAGGCCTTCCAGGACCAGCCTTGCTGGCTCTCATCTGTGACCACTGCAGTCTTCCAGGCTTCACCAACTGGGAAATTTTAACAGCCTTGGGCTTACAGCAGGAGTTTACTGCTGATGTTGATAAAAGACAAATCACTCCCAACTCTCGTGTTGAGCCACTTCTGCTCAATGGTGATTATTAAAGAACTTTAAAGTGCTCCTTCAAAAACCACAAAGAAATCACTCAAAGCGGAATAGATTTTTAAGTTTTGCAGTTGAGTACTGATAAGCCTGGTACCTCGGAAATGCTGCTACAATGGGAGGCAGTAACCCCCCATGTTAACAGAGGCACTTCAAAACACTCTGCCAGTTTGCTCACAGTATCAAGCGGTGGCTCTCTGTGCATTAGGTGTCGAGAACATCAACACAAGGATTTGCTTTATTCAAAGACAAATTTACAGCAGCTCTCAGAAACTAATGATCCCTGCCAAAGCTATCTCAATCACCGGTACTGATGTGCCAGCACATCTGTTTCTTCCATCTAAATGTTTAACATGGTACCAGTCAGAGATCATGAAGTTTGCAGCAAATTACCCACAAATGATTCAGCTGATCTTTGCCTACATGCTGTTTAACTTCCACCATCTCAATTAATTTTCTGATCATTCAATTTCTAAATAATTCCCTGATTTTATTTAAACATCAGCAATTCCTTAAGCAAGCCCAGACAGTTAAAAAAAAAGAAGCTACAAAAATCCCAGAAATTCCTGAAGCTCACAAGAAACACCCATACTTCAGTTTCAAGTAAACCATAACAGCTTCTAAAGGTGAACATGGCATAGAAAAATAAGATTCTTGTCATTCAGCAAGTACGTGAACTGCACTAAGCAGTATATTTAAACTGCTGCATATTTAAAGATTTCTCAGCACAATCAAACGTGTTCAGGAGAGCTCTTATACGTACTTTAAACATTCAAGGAAAAAAGACATATTCAGCAAATTTAAGTTTGTATTGGTTTTGCAGGTTAAAAAGACAACGTGTGAATTTCTTTGTTTCCCATTCTGATTAATTCCACAGCTTAACATAGACTCAACCTGAGGTCTGATCCCCTTTAACCCTTTATTAACAGCAAAGTAGGAAAGTAGAAAACCCCTGAAGACATCCCATTAAAAGATACTTGGTTGAAAAACCACCTGCCACTGTTAAAGGTACATACTGCATACAAAACCATCTAATGCTTAACTTCATCTAGTCACTGCTGTTGATGAACACCTTCCACAGCCTCCCAGACAACACTGTCCTTACAGATACCCCTTGTCCTTCCCAACTCTATAATCCACAATCACTAAAGCCATAAAGCACTTGTCAAGAAGAAAATAGCAGAATTGGAACAGAATTGCGTATTTTTGGTATAGGACTATGTTTGCATTGTCCTCTCCAAATTCAGGGATCTTCCCTTCTGATACATTTCAACATGCTTATGGGTTTACATTCCTGAAATTGCCACCAACCTGAACTACGGCTTAAAAATGGGCAGTTTCACTACCAGCAGAATGTTTCTAGATTTGATTGTTTGTTTTTTGGTTTGTTTTTTTTTAATAAATGCAGATGTAACTTGATCTAAAATAAGAAAATGCTAGAAATGAAAGGTTGGAGCATATATGGGCTACAGCATGTATTTTAAATATGTCCTGGCTGAAATACACCTCCATTCTCTGTCCCCATGCTTTTACCATACATCCTTACCCTGCAAAGCAAGATCCCACTCTCATTCCTTTCACTCTCACTTTAGGACCCTAGTGTTTCCTGCCTGGGTCAAGATGATTCCCACTCTCAGAAAATACAGTCACATCCTGGTTAAGCACACTCACATCTGCTTCACCTTGCCTCAAGCCTGCTCCAGCCTCCCGAGATAGGAAAACAGGCTGAAAAATTGGTTAGGATCCTGCAGCAGAGGCTGTGAACAGAGCAGGCTGTTCAGGGAGCCAGAACTGCCACCAGGGACAGCACAAAGTGACTGCTGACCACATGCATGAAGACACCCTTGCAGCTCAGGTGAACATCCACACAACAAGAAAGGCAGGACCTATCACAGCTGAGTACCACACTGGCATGATCCCAAATCCCACAGTTTGGGAATGTGGCAGAACAGCTAACCTGCAGTGCTTTGAACTCTTGCTGCAGAACGCTCTAATGTTCCCTGCATGTGGGCATGTGTGCACACGTGCTGGGACAGTAACTTGGTCATTCCTGAACTGCAATTATAATAAAATTGACCCCAGTACATTAGCAGTTATTGACAGGCTTTCAAAGATGACTCTTGGTCAGTGGCAGTTAGGATGGGGTTTTTTAATTCAAGTGGAATACAGTTTTCCTTTCCAAAGCATCTTGGTTTAAACAGTGTAGTTCCACTATTTGTCACACACTGAGGATTGTATTAGAATACTCTGTGTTATGACTTAAAATTCCTATGTAGCTGGATTTCCAGGGAGAATCAGAGCAACCCTAAAAGATGCTGCAGTTTAGAGACCCACTTTACAAACACCCAGATTCTGGGTCAAAGCTCGGTATAAGCAGTGCTACCAAGGAAATCATTGCAGTCACAAATGCTAAGGCATTAAAAGGAGTGACTTTCTCTGATGGCTTCCTGGTCCTTCCTGGCTCTGCACACGCTGCCAAGGAGCAGGGCTGTGCTGCCCACAGCTCTCTGTGTGACCCCTGGATCGCCCCTAAGCCTCAACAGCACCATTTCCAGATCTAAAACACCAAGTACGCCACCTCGTCACCTCGTGCTCACAAAAACATGCTGCTGATGCTTTGCAGTAATTGAACCGCCCCAAGACTATTGTTTGCATTTGTGAAGCTCTTTATTTGCCATGTTTTTCTGCTACCAAAAGAGGCAGGCACAAGGTGGACAAGCAGTGCCTTCTCCTTTGGCAGCGCAGTGCCACGGCCCCCACCTGTCACAGTGTCTTGCAGTGTGAGAACACATCCTGCCAGATGAACTTTCCTGGGGTGTTACACAGCGAGTTTCCACTCAGTAAAACTCTTTAATTTTGCTAAATTTCACCTCCATTAGAAAAAAGGAACTCCATTCTAACTCTCTTTTGGAGGCCAGAGCTGAGAAAATATCCAATGCAAACAGAAAATAAAGAGTTGTCATTCATTATTCTGAGCCAGGCTGGCTACTCACCAGCTCTAATATAAACATTAGAGATCATGAAATGAAGGTTCTATAACCATCTTCCTTCTTTCCACCCAGGTATGTTTACTAAACTTGTTAATACATACAGTATGGCAACTGTCTTCCTATGGAGCTAAAAACTGGGGCGCATTAAGGGAGAAAACAGACAGTTCTAAAGGAGTTTCAAATCAAGTGATTATCAATATACTATAAAGTTTTATGAGCAAGCAATTTGTGGCTTCACTAAGAAAAAAATCCCCCAAGCCCTACTTCAGAGTAAAATGGAAAACTGCCAAAAAGGGAGTCAGTTCAGTAATGTTTAAACTTGCAGCTTTGGGATGGAGATTACATATTAAAAGGGTAGAAAGCAGGTTTTCTAAAATATATTCTGCAATTTGTTTTAAAAGAAGGTCACAAAACTTGGGAGTTTTGAATCCACACAGATTCCTTTGGGAGGGGAAAAAATATCTTTTTTCCTTTTTTTTTTCTTTTTCTTTTTAATAAATTAAATAAAGCAGCATGCTGACATTTATGTTTCCATGCTCAGGCACAAAATTCAGAGGACCAGTTCCACATTCCTTTGCCAGAAGGTGCTACCTGCATTACCAGGGGATATGCATAATTAGTGTAATTATTCATGAGTAGTGCAATAAACAAAGTTTTTCTGAAATTTGTTTAAAATCACAGAAATGCATTCTGGGGAGGTAAACATTGCATAGAAAAAAATGCTTTACACATTTCTTACTACACTTGTCTCAAAAAATAATTTATTCTCAAATTCTTGCCCATTCTAACAAATTATAGTGGTCTTGCAGTACAGACAGGTATCCTCCTCAGGAACAGAGAAAGGAGCAAACCAAAGCCTGATCCACCTCAGTGGAAAAAAAACCCATAATAAAAACTTGGAGCTTCAGATTAGCTCAGCTGGTTAGAACTAAAAACACCACAGTCATGGGTTTGATCCCTGTATGGGCCACTCACTTAAGAGCTGGACTGGATGATCCTTGTGGGTCCCTTCCAATTCAGAATATTCTGTGATTCTGACACCAGTGACTTCCAGACTGGATTTGCCCACCACATTTCTAGCAGCTGTTTGGAAATGTCAGTTTGGTTTTCCTCAGAAATAAAAGTAACAAGAAGTTTGCTACTACTTATTAACCAAATTTCCTCCTTTTTCACCATCCTCAAATTGATATAGTTTAGCATTTGCCCTTAAACAATGAAGCTCCCAGAAAAGGAAACTTCACCCCACTTTAAATTGTTACTCTTATATTTTAATTGTAAGGATGTTTTGGCCAAGCAATTATACTGATTACATTATACAATATCACATAATCATTCCATTGTTTTTTTCAACATCTATAATGTCTGATTTTTTTAAATGGCTCTAACAATTTTCTTTCCAATAATATTAAAAGTATATGGATTTTTTAAAAATAGATACATGCAATTACTTAATTTACACATTCATTATTTTCCCCCTAATTTTGTCCGTTCCCTTTTGCACATAAAATTATCATCAAACCAGCAGTTGGATATTTAATATTTTAAACTTTAATTAGAGAACAAACATTACTGTAAATAAGTAGAGAAAAAAGAATGTTCACTGAAAATGCAATGGATGATTTGTCGACAAACATATTTACTAAAGCAGTTCCTCTTTTTGGCATCACAAAAGTGTTGGAAGCAAGGAAGGAGTTTCTGGTTTTGGTTCTTTGTTTTAATAATTACTAAAGGGTTACTCACATCATGCAATTTGGAGGATTTTTACTACAATGCATAATATTTGCACCAAGACCAAGTTATTGTTTCTTCTACACACATGCTAAAACAAGAGGGTAATGTGGACATTAAATTTGCTGCTTACTGTGCTTTCTTCAGGTGGAAAAGGCAGGAATATCCAAGCAGCTACGAGAAGGTAGTGGCCAAGATCCAAGCTTAGTGAGTGCAGAAAGCACCTTTGCAAAAGTTGTGCAACAGTCTGGAAAGCTATTTTTCAAAACTAATTAATTTTTTTCCCCCCAAAAAAATCCATAATCTGATGCAACACTGAAAGAAACAGGATCTTAGACCAGAAACATGAATTTTGGCACAGGGGGAAGAGCTAATCTACCCTCTGTCTCTCTGTAGGTAAGCAGAAAGGAGGAAAAATTTTGAGGCCCTTCCCACCTCCGCCTCCTCATCACAGTGATAAGCATCTACCACCTAGAGAGCTGTAACTAACTATTAAGGTCTGATTAAAATGCTTTATAAAACATAATAAGCCACGAGATAGTATAAACACGTATGAAATACCTTATGAGCAACTAGCAATAATGGCTGAGGTATTCAGAACTGTCTGTGAGATTTCAACACCTTCCCGTAAAACCAATACTGTGCGTGTCTCAAGCAATACTCCTTCCCAGAAACCCCCTTTCCCTCCTCTGGATACAAAAGACTTGGGCACCATTCATTTTTTGCACAACATTCCAAAATTGCTTAAACACCTCAGGACATGCAAGAAGGATGATGGTTTAACTGCATCACCACCGCATTTACGCAGCAATCTTGTACCCGCGTTTGCGTTTGGAAAGAGTCTGCATTTGGGTCACCCCACCAGAGATGACAAAATTCCTTATGGCTTTTTACTTGTGAAACTCTGCTCCAGTTGCAGTTGCACTATCAGAAACCCCAGGTACATTACTCCACATACATGATTACATGTCACAACCCTGCAGAACGAAGCTAAGGTGTACAAAGAGTGACTGGAAGTGGAGCCTGGAGAACAATCCAAACACAAAAGCAAAGTAAGAAAACTTACAGGGACTGCAAACCGCTTAATCCTCTGATGGCCTCATTAGGTACAGTCTTCAGCTGGTTGTTCTGGAGGGTTCTGTAAAAATCCACCGTATTAGTAAAGTAGAATTTGACAGTCATCTTTATCAACAGTAGAGGTGACAGAAAACCCCACAGTCCTGTTATGGTTTCACAGATTTCTAGTGTTCATGAGAGCATGTAAAATTATCAAGACCAGATACCCAAAGGCTACAATGAAACAAGAAAATGTTCTATTTCAGTTTTATTTGCAACACATTAATCTCATTAATTAACAGCATTAATTTGCAGAGAACAAGCCTCTGACATAACAGGCTGAAATTCCCTTGGGAACTCACTGAAGTTGAACAACTTAATACTAGTACAAATTTGCTACAATAGATATTTTCTTGTTTTCTTGTGGAATCATCCTATACATGCTACAAAACACATAAACCTCTATTTTTTTCCTGAAGTCACATGAATACACAATACATTAACAATCTAATTTACAAAGTGTGTTCACAAAAAGGCACCTTTAGACCAAGCTGAATTAAGCTTGGTCTGTTTGTTTTTTTTTTAAGAATTCTCTAATGGGACAATGTATTATAGCACGATGAGTTCTTTTATAAAGAGAATGTAAATAACAGTGATCTCACATCTTAATAAATCTTACTAGGTTTTGGTTGCACACTGGGGTAAAATGCAAGTGGGCAAGTAAGTTGTTAATTAAGATCCATGTCCCAAATTTTTCAAGAACTGCTAGAATTTCAGGCATCTCCAGTGTTGAGTATCACAATGGATATACCCTCAACAGCTTTGACACTCTGCATTCATCTTACAAAATATCATATTAAGGAGTATTGCAGATGGGCAGTTCCCTAATCTGTACCCTGCTTATAGTGTCTGTTTATGCTTTTTTTTCCCCTCTACAACCTCAGAGTCCACTGTTTTTTAAAAATATCTGTCTAATTAACTACCTATTACCCTGCTAGCATTTGGAAATATTTACATCATCAGAAATGCTACAATTTCTGAACAAAGGTTTTTAAAATCCCAAAGAACAGAAAGTTTTTTTTCTCCTTAGCTATGGGGGAAAAAAAAGTTGATGTGAAAATTCTTATCTCAGAAAGAAAAATAAAAACTTTTTTTTAATAGTAACCCATTTTCACCTAAAGAAGCCTCAAACCATAGAAATTATTTCTATCACCAGTAGAGAATAAGTCAAAGGTCAAACAGTGTAATAAATCTCTAAGCACTAGTACTATCTGATAATGTCAGGGCACCTGACAGACTAATCTGAAGGGGTAGAAAACAACAAAAAGTTTTACATGCCCTTTTTAGGATTTTTCCCCCAATTCTTGTGCTACAAGATATACTTCAGAAGCAAGTAAGTGTTCTAATTAAATGCAATAATTACAGTTTAGTCAAATTCACCATGGTTCACCTTAACCACTTACAGCAGGCTTTGTTAAAAAATTATTAAAACAAAAAAAAAGTAGGAGGACTATAATTTAGGGGGAGGGAGGGCAAAAAAATTTCCTCCAGCCTACCAGTAAACAGTCTGGCTGTGCACTAAGAAAGCATACAGCTAGCTATGAAGCTCTAAAACCCAATTACTTACAGAACTTTGAGTTCTTTCAAACCAGACAAGGCCTTTGGATGGATAAAAGAAAGGTCATTGCCAGCCAGTCGCCTGGAAAAAAATTGCAATAATAATTTCAGTCACAAAATACAGTACTTCTACAACCATCTAACAAGGAAAATCACTGATACATCAAATCTTGCAGCTATTACACATTTTGCATTCGAGTATGCTGTATTCATCATCTTCCAAGTTTTTTAACACTTATTTTTGTCATTGCACATTTTTAACAACGAGAACAACTCAGCCTCATGGATGTTCTTCTGCAGACACGCAAGAAAAACCACACCTTGGAATGATAAAGAATCTTCTTATGGTACTAGGTTTGAAGAGTGCATTTACCAACATGATCCTCTGGCTTTCAGCATTGCTCTGCTGAAACACAAGCTCTGGTACCCACGTGTTTTTAATCTATGCAGCAGTCTCTAAAGAAAGTATGAAGTTAAGTAAAAATAGCTGGATGCTACAGCAAAGCAGGAAGAGTCCTTATGAGAATCCCAAATGTGGAAACAATATTCACAAGCAGATTGGAAGTTCACAGTGCTGACAGTTGACAGGACGCCTGTTGATGTGACCAAGATATCACCTTGGTAATATTTCAACTTTTTGGTCAGTTATCTGGAGGAACTTTTTAGGAAAGGAAACTGCTTTGGGGGAGGGAGAAAGGGACCAGGATTCTCATCTGTGCTCACTGTCTCTCAAGATACGGCTGGTTTCAAACTTGGACTGCTAGACACTAACACAAAGTAAATTGTGAAAACCACTGTGATATTAAAAGTAATAAATACAGGAGATGCTGCAGAATACAAAGCAGAAACAGCAGCCAAAACAGCTGCTTCCAAACAGTTCATTCCTCCTTCCCCCACTCTTTTTTTTTCTTCAACCTTTTTACCTCTCCTCTGACCAGCAGACCCTGTGTGGTCCAGCCTTTGTTGAGCTGCTAATAGTTGTATTTTATGAAGGGTAAAGACAATAATGCAAAACACCTGGTAACCCATAACTGCCAAAAGATGCTAGAATTTCAGCCAAAGTATTTGCTTTCAGACTTGGTTTCGTATCCAAGACTAAGCAAAAGCAGTGTTGGACAAGGTTGTGCAATGAAATCATCCGTGGAAATACCGTGCAGGGTCCAATAAGTGTTAATAATTAAAAAACAATCAATGTGCTTTAACAACGGTTACAGAATATCAAAACCCGCCTCTGCTGTTACAGGGCACTGTGAAGCAAGCCAGAACACTAAGGGGAAAATACTATTTCAAAGAGGCAAATGAAGGAAATAATGAGAGCAACATTTAAAGTATCAGCTTGCCAGAACATAGCAACGTTATTACATTTTTATCTTAGTCTCTAACTACATAAAAGAGATTACCCAAAGCATTTAATGCCTACATAAATCTTCTTGCAACAGAATTAATTACTTCATAAAATGCTGCCTGATAGAGAGGGTGCTAGCTATGTTTATCAAATCCATTTCTCAAAGGTAGATGGTTTTATTTATAAATCAGGGGAGAAGAGGATGGTTTCTCACGCACAGGAAGGTGACAGCAGCAGATACTACTTCTTTTTAGAAAACTGTGTTACTCTTGCTTGTTAAGGCAGACCTTAATATTTACCCGGGTATTTTCACACCCCCCCCAATTGCCATAGCTATGGCTCTGACATCATTACAAGCCTGCTTAAAAAAACCCCCACATGTGCTGATTGCTGAGAAGTTTGGTTATACACAAGCCACGCAGACAAACAGCTCTGAAACCAGAAGAAAACTAAAAAGAATCTATGTATACTTATGTTTTTAATCTCTGGTCTGCAAACGACCTCAGAATTTCAGAGCTGGGATGTGATTTTTCAAATACTTTGAATTTTTAACATTAATGAAACATTCCAGGTGGCAACTAAACACTCCCCTAAAATTCATTTTGTTGTCAGTAGCTGTCCAAATCAACTTTATTAACTTTATCTGGGGTGACGGGGAGGGAGGTTTGCAGTATTTCATGACTTTCTTTTAAACAATTTCCTATTAATTTCACTGTAAACAGAAAGAAATAGCGATGCAACATGCTGGGTCTCTACAGCAGAGAACCAGTGATCTGCAAAACACATTTATTTTAAAACGTACTTGAAACAGCAAAATATAAATCCTTAAATCAAGCGAAATTTAACTGAGGCTGTAACTCCTCATTATTTTGCACACAAACAGAACTAGTTGATGCTGATTACATATTACACAATTCAAGGAGTGGCAGCCCTGGTAAATGTGTGTCAGGCAGCTCTGGCTGCAGCTCGGCCAAGGTTCGCCATTAATCCGGAGGGTGTGTGGCTTCTCAGGCATCTGCTGTAACTGCTCCCTCTCCCAGAGAGGCTGGGGATTATTAAAAAAACCCCTGAACTAAACTAAATACAGTTGAATAGCCTCCCCCAACCCCACTGAGTGTCACTAACAGCCTAAGAAGCACTGGAAATAAAATACAGCTGAGCCAGAGCAAGGCTTGCGTGACTTCAAACAGCGAGACTTCACCTACCTCAAGGCAACTCCTGTTTATTCAACCTTTCTGCAACCAACCAACAGAAAAAAAAGCCAACCCCTACAATCCATTACATTTCCGTTTCTCCTCTATCTGGCAGCTTTCCAGGAAGTGTGCAAAGGCTCTACTAATCAGTTTGCCAAACACACATTTATCACTCACATCCTGGCCTTGGGGAGCTGCTCGTGAGGAGGTTCCAACTGCAGCTCTCAAACAGGCGAAGACCAACATATCACACGCTGCTCTCAACATGCTTCCCTCTGCAGCAACATGCAGCAACTGGGAGGATGGAAAGGTCTCTCTTTACATAACCAGGTTCATTTTAAAGAGAGAACTGAAAAATTAATAGCATGTAGTATATAGCGCACATAGAGCGCTATAAATTAAGATGTCACTGAAATCATCCAGTCAGGTTTTCCATGTTATCTCCTTTCAGCAAGTCTTCAAAATATTTATTATTAATCACTCTCTCTCATGCACACAGTAAACACAGCTTTACCAAGGGCAAAACTCTAGCACAACAGAAAGGACACAACCTTCTTCTCCTTGTAGCAACACTCACCAACCTGCTTGGGAACTGCCCTGGAAATTTCTGCTCTATGGCAGGACAGCTTCACACTGCCATGAAGCAGCACCTGGAAGCAGCCCTACATGTACACTGTCAAGAGCCAAGTACTTCCCTCCATTCTGAGTGGAAATGGGTAGAGACCTGGTCTGAAAGTCTATCTCTTGCTACTGAGCCAAGCAGAGACACAAAGACAGTAAAGACTTACTTAACTAAACCGTTGTAAAGTGTCCTGACATGCTATAAGGCCACAAAAACTTCATTTGCTGTCTCTTACTTTTCCAAGGCATAGAGACACAGCATCAGACATCATCCAAAGTGGGATGTAAATGTGTATCACACTGACCAAGAGCTTTCCTGCTAGCTCAGTCCTGACTCCCCTAGTTTGGAGACTGCCGAGGACCTCAGGTATCCTGAATTAGTGCATCTGAGTTAAAGCTTGGAAGTTTCTGCTGCCATGTATTACCACAGTAGGTACCTTTCTTTTAGGTGGGCAATCTTGTAATCGCTTAGCACTGAATTTTGTAGTCCTCTATTTTTACTTTAAAAAATAAAAAAATGAATGCTTCAAAGGGACAAAATTTCTGCAAATTTGGACGAACTCAAATTTACAGAATCAATTTCAGCATAGCAGGATAACAGAGCAGGACACATAGAGGAAAAAAATACTTCTTCTAGCCTGTCATACAGAGGTGAGCAATGCCCTCTAATCATTATTTTAAGTGACACAGTAAATGATCTCCAGATGTAGAGGACACCTTTTTGTTATTACAGACATCAGGATACAATCTGGCCAAGGACTAACCTTCCATGGTATCTCATTCCCAGAGGACATAGTAAGCTTAGCTTCTTCCACTGAAACTGCAGCTAAGACTGTTTTCCCTCTTTTGGGAAATTAAAACTTCTGCAATTATGAGCCTGGCAACCTGGCTGCATGTTAACCAAGCCAAGTTAATCACTGGTGTCACTCCAGAAATTAGGGAAGATGTCCCAGGGATACATTTTTGTCTGTAACAATTAGAACCACTCTTATTATGACAGGATGCAAACACAAACTTGTTGGAAACCTTTCTGCTTGTCTTGCATCCCAGATGGTAGTGAACCTCAGGATATCTGAGCAAAGAGTTTCGCCTCATTTTGTCCTTCTGAAAGTCTTGTGCTCATACAGAAAACGTTTTTGCTGTGGATTTTGGGTTGGGTTTTTGTTTTGGGGTGGTTTTTTTTCATTTTGGTTGTATTCTGGGATCCTAATAACCTTATCTGTCTATCTTGTCTCTGATAACAATACAATGGCTGCTTTTTGCATGGATCAACTCTAATTTTACTTCCTCACTGAAAATTCCAATAGTGACACAGACCGCAAAATCCTGACATGTCATAATAAAAAAGCACCTGATTTATTATTTCTACATTAGCTGCTTTCTGGTAAGACCCAAGACTCCTACTTTAAGGTGTAGTCAAGACTGAACCTTCCATATCCCTCACAGACCATCCACCACTGTCTCTCTGCCCACCCAACCTCTCCTTTTAGCTCTCCAACTTTTACCTACCTATTTTCACCCCATTGGAAAATATTCCACTGTTTCCCCACTTGTATTTTTGCCACCTCTTTACTTTTTTTTGCTGTCTTATATCAAACTATTTTGCCATCCTTACGTGACTGTCCCTAACATTCACTTTTTCAGGGTTCTCTGTGCTTCCCATACAAGCTTGAGTTTTCCTTCAAGTTCTCCCACAACAGAAGTAACCTTTGAAAACACCTCACAGGTAACACCTGCTGGGCAGCATGGATTAAGTTTTCTCAAACCTATGAAAAGAGCTTCAGTTTCCACCTATTCCAGAAGAGCAGTCATTCTGGAAGAGAATTCTGGTTTTCTTAACAGATGATGCATAGTTACGTGCTACAATTTATTCATCCAGGCTTAAAGCTCTACAGGAGAGGTACAGCCATTTGCAGGAAAATA